ATCTAGAAGTATGCGGTAAGTATACGTTCTACTTTACTTCTCTCTCTCTCTCTCTCTCTCTCTCTCTTTCTCTCGGAAATAGAATGACGCGGAGCTCGTACGAACGACGCCGAGCTTCCTCCTTCTTTTTGTCCTTCTTCTTTGTAAAGGAAGAGAGGATAGGGAGAACCTGTCGATTCGAGGATCATCTTCTATTCGTTTAGTAGTCTCTGTCGTCGTTGTACGCGATGAGTGAAGCGTTTCCTTCGTACATACGCGCGTTATACGTATGCTATGAATGTACACTTACATATATACATACACATACACACACATCTTAGACACATACAATTTCACACGAGAGGAATGGGCGTATTACGTACAATACGTATACACACACACACACACACACACACACACATACACAGGTAGCGTATAAGTAACACTCTCTGGACCCGAGATGAACGAGCACACGTTACGTTCTGTGACGTGAAAGTGGTTCTTCCTTCGATCCTCTGTCGAATCTCCGATATCGAGTGTTGGAGATTTTTCCTTTTTTTCTTCTTTTTTTTTTTGAAATAAAATCGCTCTCTGTTCTCTTCGTGATTTTTCGTGAAGTGAAGTGAATCGATTTTGCCGAATATATATATATATATATATATATACCCGTTCTCGGAGATTCGTGACAGATATTCACGCGATTCGCACGTTTATCGCGTCCATTGAAGTGAACGGAATCAATGTAAATATTACATCCTAATTATACATTCAATAAAACATTAATCGTAAAAATTCCATCGATATTTTCCCCATGGCTCCTTTTTATCGATGCGTTCAATCGATAATTCACTCACGATTCCTTTTTGTGAACGTGTTCGGTCGATAATTCGTTCACGACTCGTTTTTGTGAACGTGTTCGGTTGATAATTCGCTCACGACTCGTTTTTGTGAACGTGTTCGGTCGATAATTCGCTCACGGCTCGTATTTCGTGAACGTGTTCGGTCGATAATTTCACTCACGTCTTCACTTTGCGAACGTGTCGTGTCGAAAAATCGCGCGATACGTTACATCGCGGCGCGACGCGTCGCGAAAACTTTTCCAAGTTTATCATTTGTTTTCATTGTTCGATAGGTAAACGATGGGGCAGGAAATTGAAGGTAAAGTAGCACGATCACCGTGAAATAAACGACGCGAAGGAAAAGTTATTTCACGAAACTCCGTAAGGAAAGTTGTTGGAATAGCTTCAGACCGATAAATGTGCACGGCTCGCCCCGCCGCGTTATCTATCTCTCCCGAAGAGTCTTCGAACTTTACGCGAGCTTTAACACGCCAGTGGCAAACGTTATTACGAGAGTCTTCGTTATCTCGGCTTGGAATCCTGTTAAAACGGATTAATTCAACCGCAAATTCGGTTGGAGAAATATCGAAATCCGCTGGGGGGAGCTCGGATAACGACGGCCACTAACATTACTGCAACCGCGGAACGAGCTTCTAAGAGCGGTTCTAGACACGATTAATCGATAAGGATATCGAACGCGAAACCGCGTGCGTTTACTGGGAAGAATGCCAATTTCGTTCGTAATCGATACGAATAAAATTATTCGATTTCTTCAATTTTTGCTTCGGAAAATCGATATCACTTTGTTACTCTGTTTATTTAACTTTCTTACTTTGATTCGTATTCCACGATTTAATTGAAAACATATCTCTTTGACAATTAGCAAAATCGACGAATCGTTATTTCAAATTTTTCTTTGCATTTCACAAATTTGCCCGAACAACTCGTTTAAAATCCGCTCTTAAATCGCTTATTTTTCTTTTCTTTTCTTTTCTTTTCTTTTTTTTTTCATCTCGCGCTAATTTCTCGAACAAGTCCAACTTTTGTTCGGCGGATAAATTTTCGAAGATTCATTCTGAAGAAACGATGATAGTTCCTGACACGTGGAGGAGATACCAAGAGCAATTAGCGCGATAACGAGTTAATTTAGGTTATAAAGCACGTTTAAAACTGTGTAACGCGGACCCATAGTCAGCGCCGTCACGAGAAGGTACCGCCGTTTTTCTCTTGCTCCCACTTCGAACCCGCCACCCCGTCCCCCGTGTCCCTTAACCCCGTTTTGTTTGACCCGACCCCGTGCGCTGTCTTATTTTCTATCTGACCGCGCAGAACTTTCGCGATAAAAGCAGCCGAAACTCTTTTAACGGGCGCTAAATTGAAACACTACTGCAATAAAGGGGTGGTAGCGACTCGTTCACCAAAGAGCGTTCTTTTTTCGCTTGTCAGCTTCGAGCATTCATAGATCTTTGGAACTAAGGGAGGGACAAAGGAAGGTAAGACGAATTGCGAGAAGAGAAACGAATGTGAGATCTCTGCGAGATCCGATGGAATCGTTTCATTCGATCCTAAGTAATGAAAATGCAATCGAGAAATGCGAGAAATAACATGCGGGAAATAATGCAATTGTATTATTATTAAAGAAAAGTGTGAAAAGAAATTTCATCGACCGACATCTTGATGTTGTTCTCTCCAACTCAACGTCCAATTCAACGAAAAATGTTTTTATTATTATTACTATTATTTATTTATTTACACAGCTATTAAAAATTGAATCAAATTAGGTTTTAAATTCGATTTAAGGTCGATTTACATTGTACCCTCTTTGAAATGGAAATATTTTGTAAATAAAATCAACCAACACTTTGACGTGGTACTTTCGCCCTCGTGGTGAAAAGGAAGTAATAACACTGAAATGAAATTTTTCATTCTCAGGTTTGTAATAAGTTTCTTTAACAGGCGTCCAGGCCAAATTGTCCCAAGATGTGGAACATTACTCATTTTTATTATTCCTCCCTCTTTATTTACCTCCTTATGAAATTTATTACCACACAAGGGAATTAATTAAATATTATTAAAATTTCGATCCAATAATATTAGTTCGAACGCGAGACAGAATTTCTCGTGTCACGAATTTCCCTAACTTAATTTGAATACGAGAAGTTCGGTGTGTAGTACCGTGTCATTGATCTCTTAACTCTAAACGCGATTCGAAACGCAGAATTTCCAGATACGTAATAAAGGTGGAGAACAATAGCGAGATGAGAGGTTGGCTCGCGATATTTCGAATTCGAACGAGATCCAGTGACGTCGATAAGGCGAGATATGCTCCCCTTCGGTAAGCCTTTTATACAGGATCATGCATATATAGATGCTGGAAGCTCATAGAAGAAACACAAGCGCGACGAGGACGAGGAGGAATAAAGAGGACGATGAAACGTCCCGGTCGCGGAATCTCTACCCAACTTTCTTTCGAGATAGAGGAGCCGGAAGGGAGAGAGAGGTATCGAGAGGTGGAGGGCAGAGTTAGAGGTGTTCGAGAAAGTTTGAAATTTCTTCAAAGAAGTGTTCTGTGCGAGTATCTCGATAAACGTGCACACGTAGCGGGGTAATTCCAGCGGCACCTTTACTTTTCCATTCTTCGAGCGTCCGTTGTGGACTTCGAAACTACGAGAGGCAAAATCTAGTTGCCTCTTTGCCTCTGCTATCACGTGAAAACAATAACTTTTAATAATTTCGAATCGAATCGAATCGAAATTTACGAATTCTTCGTGATTCGAAAAATATCGATTATCGAAATTTTTTAAATTTTGGAACGATGATTCTATTCAAATCTGGAATACTTTTCAATAATGATTTTAATCAAGATTAAAAAGGATTGCTTTTAGATTCTTATATTCGATTGGATTCGGCTCGATTTGGATAGCCGATTTGTATTGTAATATATTTTAAAATCGAATTCGAATTAAATCGAAGAGTTTTTAATAATTTATTTTTAATAATTCGAAAGGATTGTCGAAATTTCGGAATGATGATTCTACGTAAAAACTGAAAATCTGAGATATTTTTTAATAATAATTTTTTTCTGTTTGCACGACGCTGACCGATTTGATATTTCGTCGATAATAACTTACGATGATTCTAGTTTAATTTAATTTGAAAATACTTATAGACGTAGTCGATCACGGTCCATAAATCCAATCAAGAAATGAATTCGTGCGAGTAGAACATATTTATTTTTGTATGGAATACGTAACCAACGGATGAAGAGTAATCAGTCTATTGATGACACGAGTGCAACTTCAAAATCACGATAGAATCTTTAGAAAAACTCCCAGAACGAAATGCAAAACAGACGAGACGGAAAAAGTGGTTGGCAATTATCAGATGATCGTGATTATTCAAAAAATTATTATTTTTATACATGTTTATCATGTTAACAATATCATTCGATTGATTGTTTTTTTAAAGTATCGAATTGTATGATATATTTATCGTAGATCATTATTGATGTCAAACGCGTACATTTCATTTATTTAATGCAGACCTCCTTTCATAACAAGGGATTAAATAAATAATATTGAAAAATATCAAATTTAATTTTATCAATGCGCGAATATTTATTATACGAATAAGTGTGTACAAAGTATACAGTTATTATTGATATCGAAAATTTATGAAATCGATTGAACCGTAAGCATAAATGATTTTGTTTTTGTCGCATCGTTTTATATTAAATAAAACAAATACCTACTTTTGTGCACGCTCGAATTCATTTTCGATAAATCGGTTAACCGATGGGCAAAATCAATTATACGATTTTGAATAATAGATATTGAAAGTGGCCGTATAAAATTGATCGATAAAAAGAACGTAAAAAAAAAAAGAAGGATTAAATGTCATCATCTGTAAAATTCTTTGAATCGTATCATTAACGACAAAAAAGAATTATGAGCGATTTATCACAAAAAAAAAAAGTAATTGAAATGACCACCATTACCCGATCCATTCTCCGTTCCATTTTAATTAAAAAAAAAAAAAATAAGCAATTATGTCGCGTTTTCACATTTTACGTCGTTACATCATTCGTTATCATTCAACGCATCATCAAATTACATTACAAATTACATTCGTGGAAAGTTTCAAAAAAAAAAAAAAAAAAGAAAGAAAGAAAAGAAGAAACTTGGATGAAATTGTAAAATATCCACTGGCATGAATTTCTGAATTAATAATTATATTAATTACAAAGTTACATATCAACAAGAAAGATTTTATGCTGGACATCTCGCTCGCACATAAATCAACAATTTATATAATTGCTCTTCGTTACCTTGATTTTCTCCCACGCGCTTTTATATTAACTGCAAACTAAATTATGATACAAATAATTCAGCATTGGAAATTAACTTTTGCTCGACGCGAAATTCACAAGTTTGTGTATAATTTATTTTTTTTAATTGAAGAGAAAAAGAAAGAGAGAGATTCTAATTA